CAGGCCACTCCGATCGGGACCTCATTCTGCCTTTTGTGACATACGCCTGCAATACTGCTCCACAGGCGACTACGGGCTTTTCGCCATTTTTTCTGTTATATGGCCGAGACCCTTCCACCACACTAGATACCATTCTGCCCTACCACCCAGATTCCTCCGAATCTACGCCCATCTCTGAAGCTGCCCGCCGTGCCGAAGAATGCCGTAAGCTCGCCCAGTTGTTCACAACCATCGACCAATGGAGACAGAAATCTCAGCGTGACGATAACCACTCGTACCCTAACTTTGTTCTGGACACCCTTGTGTGGCTTTCGGTTCCAGCTGTCCCTACAGGCCTTTCTTCGAAACTTGTTTCAAAATACCAGGGACCCTACCGCGTTGTCTCGCAGACTTCACCTGTTAACTACATCATCGGACCTGTGACGCCATCCACAGACCAGCGCTTTCCCGGTTGCGAAACTGTTCACGTACAGCGGTTGAAACCATATTACGATCCGCTCGGACTCTGTTCTCTGTGAGTCACCAGGATGGCTCTTTTTCCGACGGGAGACGATATATAGTGAAGAGCATTGCCCACTACCGCAGCGACATCGACATGCAATGTCGATGTCGCTGCGTGTGTGTACAAAAGGCAATGCAATGCTCCTGCTTATTCAACAGCTATTGAAGCAACAAAAAAAAAAAAGAAAATGGGAAGTATGAAAATGGCATATAAGAAAAGAGAAACATACGTGCTTGTGAAAAGAAGATAAACATAATGTTTATAAGTATACAGTGAGCGTTGTTACACTTCAGTGCAACAGATAACAGATACAACAGATAACAGTGAAATCTTAATTATAGAAATGTATAAGATGAAAACTGCTGCCAGGTATTGAAAGAATTGGTTAATACAGTCACAAATGCGTCTTGATCTGAAATTGTTACAAACGAATCAGAAAGACAATTCTAATTGCCTGATGTGCGTAGTACGTATGATTGTCGAAATGACTCTGTTTGAAATGATGGGATGCCAACTTTATGAGTGTGATCTAAACGATGAGAAACATAATGCGGTGAACGGATTAGCAAACTGCGTAAGTATGAGTGGTGAAAAATTTTATGGAAAAGGGTTAAGCGGAGCATAGTACGACAAGAAGCAATTGAAGGTAATTTAAGGGTAGATTTCATTAGTGTGATGCTCGTGTTTCGATTGTAATTAGTAGTTATAAAGCGAACAGAGTTACTTTGCAGCATTTTTAATGAATGCACCAAATTATTGTGGTATGGATTCCAAACCGATGCGGCATATTCAATTTTAGTACGAATTAGTGTTTTATACAACATTAGTTTGACAGAAGGAGGTGATTTTATCATGTTACGACGAAGATATCCGAGCATACGATTAGCGTTACAAACAATATAGTTAATATGGGTATTCCATGTGAGGTTGTGACCCATATGAACTCTGAGGTACTTGTGTGAGTTGACACTGTCTAATTGTGTGTTATGTAGGTTTTAAGTAGGTAGAGTGGTGATCTTTCTTGACACATGCATGAATTTACATTTTTTACTGTTTAATTCCATGAAGCAGTTAAGGACAGCAGTAAGGTCAGATTGAAGAAGGGCGACGTCGTTAGGTACAGTTATTTCACAAAAAATTACACAATAATCGGCAAAAAAATGAACAGATGAGGTGACGCAAGATGGCAGATCGTTAATAGAGATTATAAAAACAAGCGGACCAAGAACGGAACCCTGTGGCACACCAGAATGTACTACACATTCCTTGGAATTAGTTCCATTAGCCAAGACAAATTGTGAGCGGTTACTAAGGCAACTTTCAATCCAGGTTACAAAGCAGGGGTCAAGATTAAGTAGTCGTAATTTATAAATGAGCTGTTTGTGGCACACTTTGTTAAAAGCTTTAGAAAAATCGAGGAAAATGCAGTCAGCAAACAAGCTGTTGTCGGGAGTGGTGTGTAGTTTATATACGAAAAGTGTTGAGTTTTGCAAGAGTATGATTCGCGAAGTCCATGTTGCGATTGAGAGAAAAATGAGTGTGACTCTTAAAAATGTGACTCTAAAAAGTGGTGAGAAGCCAAATTGTGTTCTCATACTTTACATGATATACTAGTGAGAGATATGGGTCGGCAGGAGAATGCTTGTTACCTGATTTGTGGATTGGAACTACCTTCCCGACTTTCCACTCGTTGAGAGACTGTTGAAAAATTTGGTTAGTATTATGGATGAATAACACAGTATTTTGGAAAAATTCGACCTTTATTTGATCACTACTCAGTGCCGGGGATGGTTTCAGTGACTTAATAATGTTTGCGACACCATTTTAGCTGAAAATGACAGGAAACATATGATCGTGGTGATATAGTTGCACCTACGATTGGTGGTGGCAGGTGAAAAAAAAAATGTTTTGAAAAAACATCATTAAGTGCATTCCAGCATTGGTCGGGCGGTATAGCATTACCGCTAATATCATTACTATAATATCACTCTTTCGAGAATCGATCACTCGCCAAAATTTTTTAGGGTTAGTCTTCAACATCGTAGATAAGGTGTTGCTTAGGAAACGATCTTTGTCAACTTTTAAGGCCTGCGCGTTTTCATCAGCACACTGCTTGTAAGCTGACCAACTAGTCCTACTATTGCTAAGTTTAGCCAGTTTGAAAAGACGCTTCGTTTTATTAAACAAGCGTTTAAGCTGGTGATTAAACCACGTTTTTTTTTTAGGTTGGAGGAGATCGCGTAACCAGGGATGTACTTATTTGTTAGTTTCACGATCTCAACAAGAAAGATACTCCAGTTCGACTGAACGACGCGATAGTCGAAATCATTCAAGAAATCGTCAAGAAATACAGCAAGTTAATTGTTGGTGGTAAGAAAGTCGGCCTTGTTGTTATCTCGTAGTGTCTTAATGGTTTTAACCACTTTATGTTGTGCAGGGCAAACTTTAAACAAGAGAAGGCTATGGTCACTTATTCCAGGCAGGTATGTTGCATCAAAAACAAGATCGGGTTGCGTAGTCGATACAAGATCGAGTGTATTTTAAACAAACGGTGTTAACCTTGGTGGTTCTTTAATCAACTGTGCAAGAGAAAATGTACTGCACAGCTCTAAGAAGTCTTGCGTCATAGATGTGTTTGGGTACACTGTGACGGGTTCATTTCTTTATAAGAGATTGGGCATATCGAAATCGCCAAGAAATTTGGCCGTGAGGTGTAATGGGAAATAACGCTATTAATTGCATCATAAAAATCACACACAAATGTCGTAAGGAAACTTGGGGGGGGGGGGGGGGGGGGGGCGATAACAAACACCCAAAATTATTTTTTGGTGGGCTGATGTTACTACGGCCCATACAATCTCCAAATTTGATGCAGTTTAAATAAATCTGAAGGCAACCTTTTATCGCCAAAAGCACGCCACCTTCAGAACGATTAATGTGGTCACAGTGGAAAATAGAGAAATCGCGTGAGTTGGTGACTAATTTATAGTCCCCGATTGCTGGTTGAAGCCACGTTTCTGTCAATGCGATTATGTCCGGTTCACATAAATCAATGACCGAATCAATTAAAGGGCATTTATTGATAATGCTTCTGATGTTAGTTACAAGAAAGGATGTATTGAGCGGTTCTTGTTTGCTGATCCTGTCGCCTCCTATTTCGCAGAACGATTTGACTGCCGGGTACCAGATGTGGACGGCGAAACATGCTTTGTGTTGCTGGCTCGTAGCTTTGGCTGTTCGTAATGCTTCAACTTCTTTTACACCTTGGTTTATCGAGTCGTAGATGTACTGCTTCTTATTCGGATTAAGTTTTTGTAACGCACTTGATATGTGTTCACACCCGGTTGATTTCTAGCAAACTTGAATAGTTTTCGTCTCTGAATGCGCACGCTTAATTAAGAGTTCGTGTTGCAGCCGTCGAGCTGTACCTACCAGGCACTTTTCCTCAAATGAGCATGCACTCGTTCTTTAATAGTTTGTGTTTATTTGTTATCTTGCGGAAATCGGAGCACAACGTGATTGCTGCGTTTACGATTGATGCACAAAATTTTGCACATTTTCAGTGTTCCCTTAAAATTTGTTGTATAGAGATTTCACTGTACTCGGTGTGCAGATAACTTGGACCAGGATTTTTAAAAGACTATGCGCTCAGGGAAGTTCCAGCTGTTCAGGGTAGAAGTGGGTTCACTACTACCCTGATTCAGGGTAGTAGTGAGTTCATACAAATTGTATTTTTTTTTAAGACTAAGTGCTCATTAACTGACTTTTTTGAGCCAACTTCCTATTTTCCCTTTAATAGACAAAATAATATTTCACCTCGAATAATATCATAATCAGGCATTCATTTTTTGTTGAAGTCTGTTGGTTGTCTTTTCCAAATAAAAACAAAAGTGCGCGAAAGGCTTTAAATATGAAATACACACAATGCTGATCATCGAGCATGAAGCCTTGTGCAGTGGAGGAATGAACAAACACAGTGGTGTATGAACTTTTATGAAAAAAAAGTGAAGCTATATTGAATGATTTTTTTTTTTTTAAGTGAACTGATTGAGCATCTCTTGCAGCCACAAAGCGCAGCAAAGTGAAGTGGTCTGGCATGAGCATTTAGCAGTTTTTGGCAGAACAATAAATCATGTTCGTTTTTATAAAACAGGAAGATAGTTTGGTTGTTCTAATCCGTATTGTTCCTTCGTTATCAGTAGCATTTAAGTAGCCACACTTGTTTATGCTACTGTGGGTTGCTTCTTTCACAGTTTTCCTGCATTATTTTGGTTTACTTGTGTCTCAATGGCCACGCTTAGCAGATTATGCTGCGTGGAAGAATGTGGAGGGGTGTCTTCCACAGGGCTGAAGAGAACGAGAAGCAGTATTGTCTGTGCCATGGTGCATTATTTCTTTATCTAGTTATTAGTGCAACCTGTGTGATTAAATTTTGGGGCAAAGTCAAAGCAACTCAAAGGGTACTGGATGAGACAAGAGGTGACCTAACTTGTTGCAGGCGGCCTACTTGGTGGGTGCATCTGATTCCTCGAGTATGGCCGGCAAGCCCGGTCTAGTAGACCTGTCACACTTTGCACGGGCTAGCCAGGCCATCCAGATGGCATGCCAGCAGCTATCAAATCCTGCCAGCAGCCAGCCACAGGTACAGTTTGCATTCTTTTATGGTGAAAGCAGGGGAGAGCACTCGTATTTCTGAGGCATAATGGTTCATAATTGGTGTGGTGGGGACAGAGAAGGACACATTCAGCGCTGCTGTCATTCTTTTGCTCTTTGTAAAACAGCATGTTTGCTACCACCCTGAAAAGAGCTGCTTTAAATAGGTGAGCCTAAAAACGTGTTTGTTTGTTTATTTATTTATTTATTTATTTATTTATTTATTTATTTACTACATGCTACAGGCCCACGAGGCCCAGACAGAAAGGGTGAAATTACAAAACAATATACAACATTTTCAAGAGATAAAAACAAGAACAAACACTTACAACTCAATTCAAACTTTACATATCAGTAATTGTATCGATCGACTCAACTGATTTTAGTGATGATGATGGTATTGTGTTCCATTTGTCAGTAGTGCGAGGGAAAAAAGAAAATTTGAAGGTGTTAGTTCTTGTTTGATATGGAGTTAGGGTTTCAGAGAGTGATGACATGGGGTTTGTCTTGTTTTTGATGTGCGTAGATAAGGATCAGGATGGAAGGACAACTCGTTATTGTTCAGGAGAAAAAGAAATTTAATGCTTGATGTTGCGAGAAAGCGACTTGGAGGCCACATGGAGCCAAAAGTATGAAACTTAGACAAATCCGTGTACTGCTCATCATTTCCATGCTGGCTCAAGTGCCATGTCCCTATAGACTCTGGTACCAGATTTTCCTTTAAGTTATTGGTAGAAAGCTCTATGGATGCAATAAGAACTAAGGTGAATAACTTGTGTTTGGTACACGGAAGCCCTTGTGGCTTGGTTCCTATTAATATCATACCTAACCAACCAGGCATACTGCATTGAGACCCAACCCAGTGACTCCATCTGACTATTGCATGCATATTTTATTGATCAGTGGCTCTGTACTGTAAGTGTCGAACAGAGTGTCGCAATCTATTCAAGTCATTAAAACTCACAAGGTGCAGTAATGTACACATATACGAATAATCGTAACAAAGAAGCAGCCATAGATACGTAAAATATTATACTGATAAAAAAACATCACCATAACAACAAAGACTGAGAAAAGCACAGGGTCACTGCTTGTATTAAGCTGTGGTGTATTTATTATAACATAAAATTAAGTGAAGTAAAGTTGTCAAAAAATAATCATTTTTATCGGTTGTAGGTTTGGATGGCACCCGCGCAAAGGATAATTTAATGTCCCCATGCTTTGTTGGTTTGATTTGGTTGTGTCTAAAAGTATAACGAGGCCCGACCGGATGTTTTTTGTGGTATGTTTACTCATTTTTTCATCTGTCTACATGGAAAGCTAGTCTACTTAACGCACAAAAAAATCAATAACAGTGAAAGAACATTTGTTGCAAAAGTGTTGATCTTTTTTTGTGTGTGTGTGTGAACGGTTTTAGGGTCACGGAAGTATTTGCATATTCTGCACTGTGAAACCACTGGATTTTATGTGCATTAACATAGAGTTTTCAAGCTTTAGCACCATCTCTTTTGTGCAGATCTAAAGGCATATTACATCGTTTTTTCTCACTAGGTTTTCGTTTTTTGTTTATTCAATTTGGTTCAAAAAGCTGTGCCAAAAGCACCAGCGACACTCTTTATGGATTGTTGCCCGCTGTAACTTTTTTCTTTTTGACTCACATGCCTTAATTCGAGTAACCTAACATGGTTGTCTGTTCTGCCACATTTGTGGCTTTCGTATCAAAATACTGTGACATGCGAAGGAGACATGGCGGATGGTTGTAGTGGTAAGCTCAAGAGTGTGCACCATTTGCAACCAACGTTCCTCCTGCCATCGTCTTATCCTTCTGCAGGGGTGCAACAGCTGCGCCCATTTGATACAAATCCCCATTTCTCTGTCGAGCTTCGCCAAAACCAGAAAATTTGCTCAAACTGCCCTACGCTGCACCAAAATGCCCAAAAAGCCTCAAAATTTTCTTAGTTGCACGAATTTCAATGAGAAATAGAGGCCACGTTGGTCACTTGCAGTTTCGTCATCAATCAATCCAAGCGTGCAGACTCTAACCCCAAACAACGGTGTCAAATACATTCCCATTAGGTCAGGGCACTCACGAGACACTACTGACTAGCTACAGCAACAAAGCCACACCCCCATCAGTCCGCAGCAGCTACAAATTCGCAGGACGACACAGCTTCTAGAAAAAAATGCGTTGCCATAGCCACCAACGTTTTGCGGGAAGTATGAACTTCCTAGTTAGCAAACGTGGCTCTGGCATGTTAGCAGTTAGAGCTGAAAGCACAAACCTTGTTTTTTTGCATGTGAGCAGAGTCGAGGTCGACATAGCTGAGGCACATAAAACATTTTTCTGTCTTTAAGTTGCATTAGTTGCGTTGTCCCGGCGATAAATATCCGGTGCTGTTGCCAGATCGATGGGTACGTGCTGTTGTTACTTTATGCGGTAGAATGCGTCTTGCAAGTTAGCTGAGAAGTTCTGGCTTTAGCCAAACTCCATTGTGGGGGAAAAAAAGAGGAGGGGCAGGGAGCGTAGTGGTGTTAGAAAATTTCATGGCCTTGCTCCACTTTGTGGAGACGGCTGATTAAGTCACCCTTGCCACAGTATGCCATTGTCCTGCAGAAAAGCGTATTATGGTTTGGAAGAGGCTGGTAGCACTGGTCACGAGACACTGCTCATTTCGTTCATTTACTCATGCGTGTATACGCCATATAACCGTCAGTACTAGTGTGATTGCTGACTTCTGAAATAGTTACGGGCAAGCGTTTGGAGCAGTGTATGACATTGCTGGTGCCTTTTAAAAAATGTGCACCTTTTTAATTTATTTTTATCCCACCCCTGCTCCTCAGTTTCACTGATCATTGGTATTTCACTGGTATTTGAAAGATGCGGAGAATGCTAATGTGGACTTTATCATTTCTTGCTCAGTGGGATAGTTAAAAATTCTACTTTTATCTAAATATCAGTGCTCATTTTTACTGTGCATGATTCAGGTGACATTGAATGGTTTGTACATACTCGTTTTTTTCTAAATGTAAGCCTTCTTATTTTATACTGCTCCAAGTTTCGTCTTTTGTAATAAAAACTAGATGTTCCTTTTCTCGGAACATGCTCCAAATTTGCATTTTAGTGCTTTAAAAATTGCTCCTAATTCTACTTCTGCTGTTGCACCCCTGCTTTTACTCTCTGTATTGTGCTGAAGCGATGATAACCCAAGACGCCCAAACCTTCTGAGCCATCTAGCTTCACATTGCATGGTGCGCAAATGCATACCTCTTCTTTCGCACCAGGGTTTTTGAAGAAAAGCCACCATCGCGTGTAGCTTCAGTGCAAAACTTAATTGTTTTTTCTCAGATAATGTATGTTGCACTATAGTTGGAGGCTTTGACAGTCAAAGTGTGATGGGATTTTTGCGCAGATTTTGTCGGCAGCCACAGTGATTGCCAAGCACACGTCGTCCCTGTGCAATGCTTGCCGAGTGGCATCGTCCAAGACTACCAATCCTGTTGCGAAACGCCATTTTGTCCAGTCGGCAAAGGATGTAGCAAGTGCCACTGCCAGCCTCGTCAAGGAAATCAAGGTTAGTGGTGACTTGGCTGCAATGGTACTTTCCACAAATATCCACACAGTTAAGGCCGCTCAGAACAAGTAGGCTAGCACTCTTGCTTTGCCTGTGCACTGTGTCACTTAAGTTAAAATACTTTGTAACATATGCTTGTGAAATTTAGAGTAGTTGTTTGTGACTGAACGAAAAAAATTAAGCAAGATATTTTTTTTTTTTGAATAAAGCTGTTCCGCTTGTTTATTTTTTCCTAATTCCATGTGCAGTATGAGAGGTGGCAATGCAATGAAAGGCTAGACAGAGCAAGAGAAGGAATATTAAGTAAAACCATAAAAAATACATAGGGCCACCTTGTATGGAAGAGCACAATGAATATAGCCATTGACATTGGTTCCACGTTTTCTGATGGCAAGCGTAGTCATCATTTGGTAAGACAACTTTTTGACAACTATACCCGTCAACTGTCGCAAATGGCGACATTCAAGTTGTGACATTTTAGGAGGAAAGTCCTTGCATGTAATTGGAGCCATCTGCCAGCACTATAATAATGTGCATTAAAATCTCACATAGAAAGATAATAATTTTCGCTTAATTGTATTTTTACAATGTTACTTTAAATGATTGTCCAAGAGCATGCCAGCAATGTCAAGCAAAAGCAAGGTAGCAAATTGTGCTACGCTGCAGATTATGTGATTGCACGCTGAATTTTAATCAAGTCACCGTCGTCGGAAATCATTCGTACCAGAACACACGTGAAATCATTCTAGCATTCACTACTATCAAGCGGAGTTCATCTGAATAAAGAATTATGCAAGATTCACACCTTCCTGTAAGGTCTCCTCTTGTCTTTTCTTGCTTATATACTTCGCATTTGCAGAATAACTCGCTGTTCGAAGTCGGCGCCCGTGTTCATCTGTGTCACCTTTCTGAGCTGTTAGGAGTACCTGTGTGTATGTACCAACAAAGCCCGTCTAGCCACCATTTGAATGCACATTGAAGGGAACCTTTTATTGGGGCTGGAGAAAGAGGAGGAGTGGACATGGTGAACTGCGGACTAAATTTTCATTGAAGCAAATGATAACATAAATAAAACATGAACAAACCACCGTTTCACAAGTCTGTTGTCAACTATTTATAGTCGTTAAATGCAAATAAACTCTGCACTCAAAGCATTGTCAAGTAGACCTATATAAAATGCATAAATAAAATAAAACCAATAAGCAAGGCATGGGCTAATGTGAAATCCTTATTTCACAATCTAGCGTAGAAACTTCATTATCCCTTATGGCAATGAACGGCTGGCTGCCGAGTCTATTTTTTATCTTATCAAAAGAAGTTGTGCAGGCATTTCTTTACAAATAATAATGGACCATTTCCATTAACTCGACCTTGGCTGGAAAACACTATTTCGAAGCTCTAGAAATTTCGAAAACCCTAGAAATTTGAAGCTAAGGTGATGTCATCCTCAAACTCCAAGCTCATCCTAGTTCACTTCAGGTGAGATTGCAAAACTGTTTGAAGCGGCACGTGTTGTTGTTTTTTTTCTTTTTTTTTTTTTAGCCAGGTGGGCACTTATGTCCGCTCAACGCCAACGCTATAGGAGCGACTAGTGACACTAAATACGACCCTGTGTCTGATATAACGATACAAGCGAAACCGAATCTGCTGGAAACTGGCTGGGAAGGCCACCTCCACACTTTATACGTGCGGAGGACCTTCAGAAATATTTTTGTAGAATACTATATTTTCCCTCCCTCATAGCAACACCACTTTATTGGATAGCTGGCATTAATTTCTGGCAATAATTACCGCTCAGCACTGTCAGATTACGAAGTTTACATCTTAGTTTGATATTTCGACATGCAATGGTTCTTTTGATTACAGAACTTTGATGTTACTGTAGCATAAGCACAAGGGGCACGCATTTCTGTGAAGTTCACTAGCTTTATTTTTTCAACAACGCTACACATTAGTTTCTATAAATGTTTGTCAATAATCATTATGTTGCCAAAATAGGCAAATATAAATTTATTCTGAAAGGTGACTGAACTAACTATTAGAAAGTGCCGAGTGCTTTCAGCTACGCAGGCTGTCACCGAAAGCTGCCGGACGCACTTAGCCGGTACTTCTCTGACTGATATGTATCAACACACTATTTCCAGTTGGTAATATGGTACACCTTAGTGAACCGACTCTCTGGAATACATTTTCAGTGGATTGCATTTGTATTTATTTGAGCGTTTTTGTAATTGTTGGTATTGATATAACTGCATATATCTGTACACTGGTACGCCCGCTGTATACTGCCAGCGGAGGCCAGAAAAATGGCTGTCGCTCAGTATTGCCACTCCTTAAATGAATGTCTGGCAATGATTAACCTTCTACTTACTTCAGGCACAGTTTAGGTAACAGTTAGAAATGTTGCAAAGCTGAAATGCAGAAACTTCAAGCATCACAACTCAGCTGCTTCGAGAGCGGCCTTACCCAATGCCTCCTCCCAGCGAGGCCTATCGAGCCGGCCGCATCGGTGTACATGTTGCCGGTGCTTTTTACTTTAAGTAGGCACAGTTCTAAAGCGTAAGAATTACTGTGAAGTACAGTTTAGACATCCCTGAGCCTAAATAAACCAATTCTTCGCGTGTGCGGTGCCCGCACAAAGAGTGAGGATGATCGATGTGTCGTGCTTTCAGCAACACAGGCTGTCATCGAAAGCTTTCTTCTGATTCTGAGCGCAGTAGCCGGTACTTCTCTGACTCGTATTTAAGAACACGCAATTTTGAGTTGTTAACTTGGTATGCCATAGTTAACTAATGCACTGGCATACTTTTTAAGCAGAATGCATTTGTGATTTCTTGGGCAGTTTTTTAGTTGCAAGTATTGATGTAACTGCAAATATTTAATCTGGCACGCCGGATGTATACTGCTATATCATCGCTTGCAGGAAAAAAAACTCAATATTCACTCGTGTGCTGCATATTTGCCAAACACATCATTTTAAATCATCTGTACATGTTGACGAGTAGCAACTGCGAGAACCGACTATCAAAGGAAAAAACTATCGGCAGCAACAGGCGACAGTCTGTGGCTGCTCCTCCAGTCAATTTGAGATTTTCAGAGTTAAGATGTGGATGCTTCAAAAAACTTTGCGCTCTTGCTAATATCTGCACAGCATTCGGTGCCCGGAAGCAATTCGTCACTGTCGAGTCAAGACGCAATTGTTATTTGTAAAGGAATATCATGTCAATCTTGACAATGCGACTTGTAAACATGAAGTTGAATGGCCTGTTCTTCGGATAAATAGTCACTTTACAACCCAACCAGCACGTTTTGGCGTAGCGTAGTGGGTAGTGTACTCGGTTCAAAATCGGAAGGTGGCGAGTTCAAATCTTGTCAGGAGACATTTTATTATTTTCTTTTTTTGTTTTTTCATTTTTGTTTATTTTTCATTTTGTTTATATATATATTTATTTATGACGAATGGGCATCCCCGTTCCAACCCTGTGAGGTAGGCTTGTGCGAATATTCGAATGCTTCGAATATTCGAACGACTAGGTGAGTATTCGAATTCGCTTCGATTCGAATTTAAATCATCGAATAATTTCGAAGTATTTCCAATAAACAAATAAATGTACATTAGTTTGCTTGTAAAGGTGGTTTCACTGCAATGTAGTAATGCATAGCCGTGAAAGCACTCACTCAGGAGAAATTTGCTTTGCCGCGAAGCCCCTCTTCAGATTTAAAAGGGCCTTGCAACACTTGCTGAGCATGGTCAGAAAACGCTGCCGATCGGTAGTAGAGGCTACCGAGAACACGCGAGGCAAGTATTATTGCGCAGCACGCAGCTTGAAATTCATAATAAATTTTCAAAGCTAAAAATTGCTCTCTTCCGTCAGCAAATGACACTACGAGCTCAAAAATCACTTGCCACAGCCAAGAAAGAAAACACGGCTCTGGTCACAGTCATTGGCTGATTTGAGCATGGCGCGCTCATCGTTATCGGAACGCCGCGTGAGGCCGCCGCTTGTCCACAAGTACGTGCACGATCACACTGAAAGGCCTCGTATTCAAAGAAAAAAAGAGAGAGAAAAGATGCTCAAGGTCACTAGGCGCTCATGACGTTTTTTTCTATTCTCGTGCCATCCTTCCCTACTTAGCTTCCAGACCTTTTGACGGGTCGAGAATGGAGAATGCAATTTCAGCATGCGACAAATTTTTGGAACTCCGCTCATTCTGGACCGATTCTAGAAACTTTGCGGCGGTAAATTTGTGAGGCGACAAGCATGTTTACTGGCTTCATGAATACTTGAAAAAGTGTTGCAGGGCCCCTCTAAAGGAACATGTCATCCTCAAATCAATCCATTTTATTAAGCTTGTTATGATGGTTTAAACGGTTTAAGTATAATAAATTTTAAAACAGGTTATCACAGGTTATATTACAGGTTATCACTCGGATTCTACCGAAACCACTAATCAAGGTTGTTTCGACATCCTTTCAAACAAAAAAAAAAGCATTTGCATAGAGCCCCTATTTCAATTCAAAAGAAATATCCTGCAGGTTAGTTCGGTTATGATAAATATTCCCTTTTTTTTATATGTCATACATACTATTTGGATTCGATTCGAAATTATTCGACTAAATTCACTATTCGCTTCGAATTCGCTTCGACCCTTACTTTTATTGACACTTCAGTCTACTGGTGGCCGAAAAAAGTCGTTAATGCATTGCTGCATGCACTTCCGCTTACGCGCACGCAAGTCCGCCTGTATCTCCGCCAGTGTATACGATCGCTGTATGACGACGAAAGAACAGCGAGGGCTCGAGACAGGTCCGCATGCGACGGCTCCGGAGCACACGGCGCGTCATCTTTGTCAGAGTCAAAACCGCTGTTTGACGGTTGCAGAACCTGCTCAATTATGTCGTCATTCAATTCGGCACACGATGACACTGCACTGTCGATGTTTGCAAAGTCTTCAAACGTAACAGTGTCGGGAATCGGCACACCGCAGCCTCGCAGGTT